CGGAAAGATATGAGGAAAAATATTGAGAGGATATGAAGTGGCTTATTTAACATTGCTGTCTCAAAGGTGTCAAAGCTTTGGTAAAAATCTTGAACATTTAAGTGGATGTATAATTTGAGCTTCAGATAAAAGCCTAATATTTTATATGCCATGCCCTAAAAATCATATTTATTGTAAGAGAAATAGGATGAAGATGTAGAGAAAAATTCAAGTAAAATGTATCTAGACATGATTGCATATTTTTTCTGTGTATATCCTTTTATAGCAATCATAATTTGGCCAACCTAATTTAAATTTAAGTAAGATTCTTGTCTCCCTTTTAATCATTGCTGATTTTTAAAGACAGATATAAAGGATTTTCCCATTTTTTTTTGTCAACCTACCCCAGATCATGCAAGAATAATTTCCTAAACTGTCTGGGTGAATGGACACTTCTGTTCTGTATCTCACCTGAGTTCCCTATGGAAGGAACTCTCTAGGCAACTTTATTGCAGGCATTCATTGTCCAGAGAAATGATTGCATGTATAAATGTATAGAGGATTGGTAAACTGAACTCTATATCCATAGCATGCCTCTCAAAGTTGAATTGAAAAGAAAACATATCACCACTTCCTATTTCTCTGTAGCAACAGCTCCTAGTAATGTAGATAATGCAAATTGGAACAGAACAACTTAGCAGAATACTGAGAGATCTCATTGTTCATGGAATGTTTATCATGCCACAGGAATCGGCAATAACCTTGGCCAAGCTAGACTTAGAAACGTCTTTCATGGGCTGAGGCTGTAGCTCAGTGACAAGAGTGCTTGTTTTGTACATGTAAGGCACTGGGTTCAGTCCTCAGCACCACATAAAAATAAACACAAAATAAAGGCATGCTGTCCATCTACAACTATAAAATTTTCTTTTTTGAAAGAAAAGACTTTCATAAAAATGTTATGAGCACCAGTATAATCATATCTTCTAAAGTTCTCTTCTGTAAATTCCATGTAAATGTGAACATCCTTTGAAATCAAAATAATCTCCTCAAGTAAGATATCTTCCCCAAACCCACTTACTTTCTTGCAAGATATTTAATTTAATCTTTTTCTTGAAGTTTTGGGTCTTTGTGACATTGGAGGTTCAGCCACAATTTCTCAAGTCTGCTCTTTTCTCAGTATCTTGGTACCTGGTTTCAAACCTCAAAGGTCATAAATAACACAACAACAAAAAAGGCACCTGTTCTTCATTTATTCCTCTGTTGCTTCTTTGGAGTGGTAGTTGAAGGATAACCTAAGCTATCATCTGGAAGTGTCTTGAATGAAACAAGAACTTGTTTGAAGATATGAAGGACATATCTGGCATCCAAAGCCATCCGCACTCCTCTGTATGAGGCAGGGCCTGGGGTTGCAAGCAACAGACTGTCTTTCAACAATGGTGTTTGTGAAAGTTGTCATAACAAGGGTCAACAAAACTGATGGTTTAAAATAACAGAAATCCATTATCTCTCACAGCTCTAGGGCCTTGAAGTCTGCAGTGAAGTTGCACCAAGGCCATGTTCCCTCTGAAAACTTTAGGGGAGGACTCTTCCTTATTTCTTCCTAACTTCTAGCATCCACATTTGATATCTCTTGAGTTGTTGATGTATCACTCCGCATCACTCTGGTCTTCTTCCTTCACAGGGCTATCTTCCTTCTGTGTATAACAGTGTTCATGTCCAAATTTTTCTTTCTATGACAGTGTCAGTGGAATTTGATCAGGGCTTACCCGAATGACCTTTTTTTGACATCCTCTGTAAGGATTCTAGCTCCAAATAAGGTCACATTGCAAGGTACTGAAGGTTGAGACTTCAACATGTTTTTTGAGGCAGGAAGAACACAATTCAATCCATAACACCAGTTTAAGCAAAATGGAATTTATGGGTAAGATATGAAATTGTTTATTTAATTGATGAAAGGAGAAAAGAATGAGAGCCTGAGAAGAAGCAGGACCATAGCTGCCCAAAGGTCCAATGGGCAGGAGCTAATCCCCAGTCCTGCCCAGAGGCTGCTGTGGAATGTGGCCACAACACTGGCTTCCCATCTTTGTCATCTCCATGACACTGAGTCCCAGAAGATGGTCTGATTGGGTTGCTCCTTAGGTAGAAAAGTCAGAATCCCATTATTATTCCCAGTAATACTGCAAAAGAAAAGAGTTAATTCCTAAAGGATTTGAGATACTATTACTAAGAGCAAAGAGAAAGAATATTAAGTAGACCCCCCCACACACACCCCAAGCAGGAAATGAGGCAAGGGGCAAATTTACAAAAAAAAAAAAAAAAGGCATCTTTTTTATCTATTCTAAATCTGTCATTAATTCTATGTTAATAATAAACCTCTAATGACTGTTAATGTCACCATTTAGAAAAGTCAGCTACCCAGCTATATTTGCCTTTCTTATAATAAGAATATGGAGGGAATTCTAGCTCATCGTGATTCTTTCCATTACCAAATGGTCTTTAATTCTAATTTGTGACCATGTCAGTTTTGCAATAGAAAACCTGAGCTCCTGAACAAGCCCCTCTCCCATTCTTTTCCCCATTGTTCAGGTTCTCTGGTCCCAATCAGCACACCCCACATGGCATGCTGGCCAGGCAACGCTTCCTGCAGGATATAGTCAGCAGCTCCTTGAGACCCTAGAGGGAAGGATAGACTTTGTCCTTCCCAGCTCCAGAAAGATCCAGCTCTCCTGCTCAAACTCTGGGCTCTTTCTAATCCACCCTCTCTCCCCACCCATCCTACCACCACCTCTTCAAAGAATATATCCATTGTTATATTAGTTATGCTTTGAATTAAAAAAAGAAGAGGCGGGAAAAATTAACAAAGTGAACTGCATAAGATTAGGGGCATGTGGGGGTGGCTTATTATTAAATAGTACAAAAATCTTTCATAAAAGGCTTCATCTCTAGCCTGTCTTTTTGTACTTATTTTACGACTCTTCCAAAGAGAAGTAGTTGATCTACCATAGTCTTGTGCATGTTGGCAAATTCCTTACCATGCCTGGGCATAGAAGGGGTGGTCTCTCAGGGTGAAATATCATGAAGGGGCATAATATCTGGGAGATAGAGAAGAGGGCTCTTTGTGAAGCAGATTCCACCTGTACCTGGAAGTAGGAAAAAAGTGCTGTAGAGAGGACGTGGAATCAATAAAGGGTGAGCAGTGAGTCCCAGGAGGATAGGGGTTCTCAATCAATATGTAGAAAATGATGGAGGAGACAATATTTGGAATTTTACATTCTTGGCATCAGAGAAACAATTAGATTGGCTGTCCCAGAAGTAATGCATATGAATTCTGTTCATGATTCATGGGCCCAAACCAGTCACTTGGTTCCCCCAACTTAAGGCCAGGAAGTGTATGTGCCCCTAAGAAAGACATAGAACATACTTAGCAAACAACAGCAATGACTCCTGTGGTCACATGCAGACTCCAGGTGGCTCCAACAGGCTCTGATTCAGAAGACTCTTGAGCTCTGCATTTAAAAAAGGCCTCCTCAGGTGAATTCTGATGCAGGGTGAGGAAGGGAGAATAGAGAGGAATCCCTGGACCACATTTAAAGAATGCAGACATAGAATACCTCCTCAGTGCAGGCAGGTGATAAGAAGAAGGGAACAATAACTAAACTGTGGAAGCAACCTAGATTCCCTTCAATAGATGAATGGATAAAGAAACCATGGAATATTATTCAGCGGTAGAGCACTCGCCTGGCATGCGCTAGGCCCTGGGTTTGATCCTAAACACCACATAAAAATAAATAAACAAAATAAAGGTTTGTATACAACTAAAAAAAATTTTTTTAAAAGAGAATAAAATTATGGCAGGTGAATGGATGGAGTTGGAGAATATCATGCTAAGCAAAGTAAGTCAATCCCTAAAACCCCAAAGGCCGTGTCAGGCATGGTAGCACATACCTGTAATCCCAGTGGCTTGGGAGGCCAAGGCAGGAGGATAGTGAGTTCAAAGCCAGCCTCAGAAACAGCAAGATGCTAAGCAACTCAGTAAGACACTGTCTCCAAATAAAATACAAAATAGGGCTGGGGATGTGGCTCAGTGGTCTACTGCCCCTGAGTTTAATTCCCAGTACTCAACAAAACAAAACAAAAAACCCAAAGGTTGAATGTTTTCTCTGATAAGTGGATGCTGATCCGTAATAGGGGAGGGTGTGTGGGGAAAATGGGCAAAGGAAAGGGCGAGGAGGGGAAGGGCATGGGGACAGGAAAGATGGTGGAATGAGTTGAACATCATTACCCTAGGTACACGTATGACTGCACATATGGTGCGACTCTACGTCATGCACAACCAGAGAAATGAAAAGTTGTGCTCCATTTGTGTACAAAGACTAGAAATGCATTCTGCTGTCATGTACAACTAATTAGAACAAATACAAAAAAAAAATTTGAAAAAAAGGAAGGGAACAAATTTGACATAGGACAAAGCCTGGGTCCCTCAAATTGTAACCAGAGAAGCTACGATGCCTGGACTTGCAGCCCAGATGGCTGGGCAGAAGCTCCTAAATGCCCAGGCATGAAGATATCTTTGAAACTGTGCCTGAAACTGAGAAGACCCTCAGATGTGTCAGACATCTCCAGATAATGGGTGATCAAGTGGGATGTGGAGCCACTCCAGGTGACCGTTCTCAGATGAGATCTAAAGTATATTTTTATGAACATTGGCCATATGTTAACATATATTATCACATAATTGCTTATTTTATTTCCTCTGTTCTTTTCTCCTCCCTTTTTCCCTTCCTGTACTGTCTGCTCTTTCCTTTATCTCCCATTATTCTCCTTCCTTCCTTCCTTCCTTTCTTTCTTTCTTTCTTTCTTTCTTATTTTTATTCTTTGCTTCTGTCTCCAATTCTTCTCGTCTACTATTTCCCCTTCTCTACACCCCTCTCTTCCCCTCCCTCTGTCCCCTCTTCTCTCATCTATTCTTCTCCCTACTCCTTCCCTTGCCCATGGCCCCATCCCCTCCATTGTCTCCCCAGGTATTATGCCATCTGCTGCCAGCCTTTGGTTTACAGGAACAAGATGACCCCTCTGCGCATCGCATTAATGCTGGGAGGCTGCTGGGTCATCCCCATGTTTATCTCTTTCCTCCCTATAATGCAAGGCTGGAATAACATTGGCATAGTTGATTTGGTGAGTATCCACACAAACCCCGCAGGTTTACCATCTGATAAAGTTTGCTTGGAATTTTCAATAAATAATACTAAGCTGGGTGAATGCTCAAAGGAAGAATCTGACAGTAGCCTCAAGGACAGTTTGTTTAAAAGCTAACATTTTTGAATGCTTACTGACAGAGTCTCCTCGACTCAACTTTAGTCATGGTCTTCTGAATTTTCTTCACAACTAGTCCTCCAATTTTAGTCTTCATATCCATCTTTACATTGCTGTTTTAGCAAGAATCTTGTTAAGTTGACGTAGCCAGAATCCTCTGCCCTCAGTACTGGTCAGGTCCTTCATCCTCCATCATCCATAAGTGACATGTGATCACCCTGGCCTGGCTTCAGGAAGAATCCTGTTATGTTGGTTTAATTAGGATCTCCTTTACCACTGATATTTCCTCTTAGTGATTTTTCCATCCACTGATTCTCACCCACCATGGCTATAAATTCCAACTTTTCCTTGATATGTTGGTGGAGCACAATCTCTGTCTTCTACTGCACAACTTGATCATGGTGGTCACTGTTGAATTTTCATAGGGGGTATTTTTGGTGATACCTGTATTTATAACAACCCTAAAGCATAGTGCTAAAGTGCTGGCTAGTGTTTCCAAGGGCATGAGCACTGTGATGTGAATTATAGGAAAATATGCGTGTGTTAGGTAAACTTTATTCAGGAGATTTATTTATTTATTTATTTTTGGTATTGAGGATTGATTCCCAAGTACTCTACCATTAAGCTACATCCTCCCTGCCTTTTTTAAAAAAAAATTTGTTCTTTTTAGAAATACATTACAATAGGGTGTATTTTGACATATTATACATACATGGAGTGTAACTTATTCTAATTAGGATCCCATTCTTGTCCCAATTTTTGAGACAAGATCTCACTAAATTGTCAAGGCTGCCCTCAGACGTGCAATCCTCCTGCCTCAGCCTCCCAAGTAGCTGGAATTATAGGCATGTGCCACCATGCCAAATGCCTTAGCACTGTAACAATATCATGAATAATCTTTTCTTTAACCTTGCTATATGCTAAACAGCACACTACTTTACATATAATCCTAACAGCATTGTTTTGGAAATAGTATAATTTTTTCTCCTCTTACGGATAACAAAACCTAGGCTTACAAGGTTAAGTAGCCCTCTCGATGCTGCACAAATTGCAACTAGTGGAACAGAAATTCAAGGCTTAGCAGTCAGATCCCTGGGTTTGTCATATGTTCAGAAAAGTCTTTGTCCCACTTCACATTGAGAGTCTATATGGCCTCCACTGACCTGAAGAGGATATTTCATCTGGATGGAGGCTGCCAGGAAATGAAGAGAGCCTTGGGGCAGAAACTGAGAGCACTTAACCCTGAGCCCAGCTCCATCACTGTTCTCAGTGGGAAATAGTGTTTGCCAGGTATAGGAGGACATGTGACCTGTGTGCCAGGCATTTCCCAGCCCTTGTTTATGGATTTATCATAGAAACAGAATCAATTATGTGTGTGTGTGTGTGTGTGTGTGTGTGTAAATAGACAGAAACAGTAGAGAGAAACACAGAAAGAGATTTATGATAAAGAATTTGCTCATGTGGTTATGGAGGTTGACAAGTCTCAAGATCCATAGTTAGCAAGTTGGTGACCCAGGAAAGCCAATGCTTCAGTTCAAGATCTAAGGCAGGAAAAAAAAAATATGTCCCAGCGTGAAAACAATAAGGTAGCAGGAGGTTCCTCTTATTCAGCCTTTCTGTTGTATTTGGGCCTTCAACAAATTGCATCGGATTGTATGAGGCTTCATGTCGGGGAGGACTATCTGCTTTATTCAGTCAACCGTTTCAAATGGAAATCTCAGCCAAAAATATCCTCATAGCCAGAATAATATTTTACCAAATGTCTAGGTACTCTGTGACCAGTCAAGTTGACACACAAAATGAACCATCTCACTGTGTCTAGATGCTCTTTAAGAGGCCAGCGTCTCTGATGCACCAAAATCCTAATGAAAATCAAAATCCATAGTATTCATCAGCAGGGATATCTATTTCCTCAGGAAGTTTTCAGGCAATCAATTTCAAATCAGTTTTGGGATTCCTTTTAATGAAGGATGGGGAATAGAGAGGACAGATTGAGGGTGAGCTCCAGCTCCACAGGACCCATGGGAGAGGGAACTGCCCCTGCCTCTCTCTACCCCATTCTTAGCTCCTAGTCCTGCCTTTTTCTTTGTCCATGAAAATACACCCATATCAAGGCCTGGACCAGGATTTTCATGTAGTGTGTCAGAATCAGAGTGCTTGGGCTTCTGAAAGAAATACTAGAGGCAGGAAAGTGGAGAAGTAGAAAGAGGATTCAAACAGGAAGAGCATGAGAGTATTTTCTAGTATCCCAATCCAGTTCTGTCAAACTGTGAGTTTTATCATTCTTGGAGAAATGAAATCCAGTTTTCCAAAAAATATTGTTATTCCAATAATAAAAACAATAGCAGCCAACAAAAGCTGAATATGTGCTGTGTATCAAAGCCCATGTTAATCACCATTCTTGGGAATCTCACTTGTGCGTCACAACAACAGTATGAAGTAGACACTATTACTGTCCTCGTTTTATAGATCAGGAAATTGAGCCTCAGTGAGGTTAAGTTATTAACCAAAGTCACTGGTAAGAATTGGTGGTGACTATATCTGAGCCCAGGCTTACTGCATTCCAGAGTCTATGCTATTAATTTTTCTGCAACATTTATTCCCTGGTGGAGAAGACCTTTGGAGCATATGCTTTTTGTTCATGGGGAATTTTTGTGAGGGATCAGCATTTTTACTATCCTATGAGGAAGTTCCAAGGGAAATAATTTGGGAAGTGTTTTTTCATTCATGGGAATGAGATAGAGGCACCCCCTATTTACTTCACCTAATCAGTTAAGGGGGCATCTATTTTCTATTAATATGCTTTATATTTATATCTCTCCACTCATATGCACATTGAACCTGCTAAAAGATCCCAATACATATACAACTCATTGTTATTTATAGTAATTACATTTTATAAAGTCACTACATACACTGAATTAGGAAGTACTAAATCTTTGTTCCCAGGGGAAATAGAGGGTTAGATTTCAGCAAGTCACATTTTCATCAACCAATCAATACTCAGCCTTATCTTCCCTTTATATTTATTTAAAGACACCAATTAATTCATATAGTTGATTTATTAACATTGAACTGATGGTTAAGGCACTATAAGTCATGCCTGAATGAAGTTTACCTAACACATGCATGTTTTTCAATAATTCACATCACAGTGTTCGTGCACTTGGGAACACTAGACAGCAATTTAGCTTTAGGGCCATTATAAATACAGAAATCACCAAAAATACCCCATATGAAAATGCAAAATATGTGGCAGTAAAGAGCAAAAAGAACACTTGAGAAGTGGAATGAGAAGATAGAACATTGCTGTTTGACTTCAACTGGGAACATGGCTATCAGGCACTCAGATTCTACATTGTTCTGTGCACAAGTGTGTCTGAAAATGAAACACCATACGAATTGATCTTTGGAGACTACAAATAAATTTTAGTGAGCAGGTAAATTTACAAATATGTAATCCATTAATAAAGAACAAGTATACTCACATGTTTAAATCTGCACACACATACATAGAGAGAATGCCCAGGGCAGGAACCTACTCCAAAGACTTACTTTGCTCAGTTGACTCACCTGTTCTTTTAAAGGTAGACTTGTCATAGAATCTCTACTTTATCCACAAATTGTACAAGTCAGCAACCACACCAACTCAATGCAGTTATTTACATAATGTAAAAGAAGCTCCCTAAAAATTTAAAGCCCCTAAAAATTCACATATTAATAACTTAGACTGTTTCTCCACTATGTTCCTAAACCTAGACCCTACTTAGTAATATTATTTGATTTTTCATCACTAACATTTATTAAGTATTTTAGGCAATATACTAATATTTTTACATGTTAATTTTATCTAATCAACACGTTAATATTCATTTTTAAAAGGAAACCTCATGACTTTGAAATCCAAGTTCACAATATATACCCTATTCGCTCATTTTTCTATTCAGGCAATAGTAATTGAATGCTGACTATATTCTATAGAAAACTGCAAAGTCAGTGGTGAAAAACATTTCAACTCTTATGGCACTTAACATCTAGTGAGGAGAAACTAATATATGTCAGGGGTTACATTTTATTTAAAACAAAATTAAATAAAAAATGATGAGTGATAGGAAGATGCTATTATTTTGCACGTGAAATTTACCTCTAATAAACAAAGACCCTTACAAGAGTATTCAAAGGAACAAACAGTAAGGAAGAAAACAGAGACAAATTTCTTGGAAGCCAAATTAATAACATATTAAAATTAAGAAAGAAGAATTAGGTTCCTGCATACAATGGAAACTATCATAACTATAAAACTGAATAAAAGACACTACATTATTACCTTAGATTAAGTAGAGGAGAGTTGAAGGGAGGAGAGGATATGGAGATAAGAAGGATACTAGAATGAAACAGACATTACTACCTTATTACATATAACTGCATGACCAATGTGATTCTACAACATGTACCGTCAGAAAAATGGGAAATTATACCCCATCTATGTATGATATTTTAAAATGCATAAATGCATTCTACAGTCATGTATAACTAATTAAAACAAATTTTAAAATATTACAATAAAATGGAACACTGTTTGAAGGCATTGGAAAGTAACCAAGGCAAATAAGACTTGAGTAGCTATTATTCCAAATAGAAAAAGAAAATTTTATCAAAAAAGTCTTTATTGATTCATTAATATGGAGATAGAAGGATAGAAGCTGAATAGAAAGCAAGAGCCTTGGGCTTATAGTTGTCTCTCTAAACTGGGAGAATATTTTGGAGATTAAAGGTGCCAATTTACCTGAGATTTCAGTGATTGAAGTTCTAGAGAGGTGAAAACTTCAGAGATATAAATGTGAAATTTTAGTATACATTTTTTTTTCTTGAATCATCTGCTATTACTAAAGTAAGAACCAAAAACAAAGAACAGAAAAAAAGCAACATTACATTTTCATAGGCAATCTGGATAATGGAGTTATTACATAAGAACTTTAAGTAACTGCAGTTAATATAGGTAAACAGAAAAGGAGAAATATGGAGAACTTTACTGGAAGACTAGAATTTACAGGAAAGACAGAAAGAGGCAAAAAGAAAGGACAGAAGGAAGGAAGAAAGGAAAATATAAATTAATTTTGGAACTAAGAAATACAGTGAATGAAGAGTGATGATTTTAATTGTAGATAAAACACAGATGAATGTACCTAATCTAAACTGGAGTGTAGGTGTGTAGAAACCTCCAGATTGAGGAACATAGAGATAAGTGGATAAAAATCAAAGACAATTATGTCACATGCACACACGCGCGCACACGCACACACACACACAGATATTCTCCAGAAGAACAGAGAACAGAAATAATATTCAAAAAAATAGTGGTTAAGACTTTTTCAAAACAGACAAAAAAGCATCAGTCACAGATTCAAGAATTTTCATGAAACCTCAGTAGGTTAAGTTAAAAAAGAGAAAACTATCTAAAAGATACGTATTTTCAAAGCTGAAAATTGAAGATGAAAGAATAAACCTCAAAGCAATTAAAGAAAAAAGATAAATTAATTTTAAAGGGAAGTTAAGACTTACAGCTGACCCTGCAATGAAATGATAGCAATGAGAAGGCAATGGAATGATATCTAAAAATGATGAAAAAAATTTGCAATATAGAATTCTATATCCAATGAGAATACTCTTCAAAACTTAAGATGAACTAAAGACATTTTCAAGCAAGCAAAAACAGGGACATTTTCAGCAGCAAAATATTTTTTAGTCAAAAAATAAAACAACAACAATAAAAAAAATAGACAAATATGTCACATAACAGGAAAGAATGCAGAAGTAGGTAGGATAAAAGAATATTGAAAGTTCAGACAACACTAATATTAATGTTTTGTGACTTTTAAAAGCATACATAGAATTAAAATACATGAAAACAATACTATAAAAGGCAGGAATTGGGTAGGAAAATAGAAGTAAGGAGCTTACAATCTTTGCATCGGCAAGGACATGGTACATGTATTATGTAGAATGAATTAAGTTGTAACATCTAAAACAAAGTAGTGAAAGAATGTATAACCATAACCTAATAGAGGGAGGAATATCAAGGTGATATCTTAAAAATTGATTATTCCAAAAATAACACAAGAGATAAATATAAAGCAGTAAGAGAGTAGACTGAAATCTAAGTCAATCTGTGATTACAGTAAATATTAATGAATAAACTCTTCAAAGAAAAGCTGCTAAAAGATAAAAATTTTTAGACTGAATCAAAACAGAATACATACATATGCTACTTGAAGAGATGCCCATTACATGTAAAGTGACAGAAAGGTTGAAAATAAAATAATGAGAAAATACATGCCATACAAGTACTAATAAAAGATATGGTATAGCCCTACTGTTTGTGGTAAAATTTAAGTAAGTAGCATTACTTGAGATAGAGATATTTCATAATGTTAAAGTCATCAATCGAATAGGCAGACATACTGTCACATAATACATTATAAAACAAGGTTCTAAATATGTACAAAACTAATAAAATTTTATATTTGTGTATCATGTATGTATATATATATGCATATGTGTTTTATATATACACATATTAGATGTATGTACACATACATTTTTTCCATGTCTTTATTCATGTATATAATCACAATGGGTGTAGGCTGACCCCAAGCAGGGGAAGGGACACTGAAAGAGGCTCCTTTCAGTAAAGGTCTATTAGTAGAGAAGGTTACTGAGGTAGAGCTGTCAGCAATCCGTGTTCACAGTTGGGAGAAAAGCTTGCAGACTTAGAAATCTAGTGTCTTACAGTGTCCAGGACAAGTATAAAGGAATGTAATTAATTAATGTAATTTACTAGACTACTAAAAAGAAATGGGGGAAAATCCCCATGACCCATCTCACTACTGCTAACAATGAATTGATAAAATACAATATTCATCCAGGATTAAAAAATTTAAAACCTCATTAAACATAATAATAAAAGGAAACTTCCTCAATTAAACTGTCAAAATTCATATAGAAAATGTCATACCTAGTAGTAAAATACTGAAGGTTTGCTCCCTAAACCTGGAAATAAAACAAGGGTGTCTACAATTACAACTTTTTCTTTCAAAATTATAATAGAGATACTTTGAAGTTCAATAAAGCATGAAAAATGAAATGAAAAGTTAATACTCATGTGCATATTCATGGAGAAAACTGACAAGAATCTAGAGATGAATTATTAGTTAATAACTCATTTAGTCAAGTTGCTGAATGCATAATCAATACACCAGAAGATCTTCACAGAATTCCACATACAAGCAGCAATTTAGGATAAGAATTTTAATATGGTATCATTTATAATTGAATAAAAATTTAAACACTTAAGAGCAAATGAATAAAAATGTACAAGATGTTTATACAGAAAATATAAAATATTACTGAAATAGATTTTAAAAGACTTACATAAAGGGAGGGATTATTGCAAAGATGTTCTGACTCATATTATTATAATTCCAGAAACCAAAATCTTTGAAGATTTCCATGGAAATTGATAAACTATGTCTAGATTTGATATGAAAATACTGAGATATAAAAATTACCAAAGCAGTCTTTAAGATGATGACCCACAGTTCAAAGATTTTAATATGGAGTATCCAAAATTAATAAAGTTACAAATTAAAATGGTATGGTGCACAAAGAGACAAATCAAGAGAACAAAATAGAAGATTCAAGCACGGAGCCACGGATGTTTGATTCCCTGATTTATGACCAGAGACATACTGTGGTGTATCTGGGGAAGGGTGGTCTTCTAATCCATGATACTGTGTTAATTGGCTATCCATAAAGTAAAATTTAAATCTTATCTCCTACATCACACCATATTGAAAAACTAATTCCAGGTGGGCTAAAGAAGTCAATGCAAAAACTAGCACAATAATATGCTAAGATATAATATACGAGATGTCTTTAAACAGATATGAGAATATCTTTATACTGAGGTGTAAACAAAGATTTCTAAAATAGGCCACAATGAGTGTAATTAAAAATATAGGTTCTTTTAAGAACTTCTATCACCAGATTCTAAAAAGAGAAAACTGTTCAGACTTTAACACATAAATTTGATAAGTCATATCCAGAATATAGGTGAACTATAAAAAATAAATAAGAAAGAGAAGGACAACCCAGTTTTTAAAATGGGAAAATACCTGAATAATCACCCCATAAGAGAGGATATCTAAATGGAAAAATGGTAATTGATAACACTAATCATTGGAAAATACATAGAAAAATCACCATAAGATTCTGAAGGGTCCTGATGAGTTTAGATTGGATTCAGATTATTTTATTTGATCTAAATTTTAATCAGGCTGGTGGGGGATGGCAAACAAGGAACAGAGGTACAGAGAGCAGAGCACATGGAACTTGAGATGACTTACTTGGCTTGAGACTGAGGATACGACCCCAAGAAGAATGTGCCTATAAGAGCTAGGCAGTGTCTCATCATATAAAGACAATACTCTGGTCCTATGAGGGAATCAGTGATGATCATGAAACAGAAGCAGAAATTTAGTCTCACATAGTTTCTAAAGAAAGCGATGTCAGTGCACCGTAACCACCCGGGAAGGGATGCCTGGGACGATTTTGGTCCAAAGTTATAAAATATGACAAATCCTAATCTAAACATATCGGCAGAGTCACAGATATGTGGAGTGTTTTACTGATGTAATCAAATCCACTTTACAACCATTAATGGATCAAGCAAACCCACAATGAGATAAGACCCCACACTGACGATACCAAGTGTCAGTGAGGAGACACTGTAAGTGGGGCTCTCCTAGCCTGGTGGGAGGAATGTCAACTGATAGTCCCTTTGGGAGCCTTTTGGCTGTACATACAAAGGTGAACATACATTTACCTATGACGCAGTGACATCAGCCCTAGATATATACCTAAGAGAAATGAAGGCTTACATATACAAACTTGTACAAGAATATTCATAACAATCTTATTCAAAATAGCTCAAACCTGAAAATTATCTAAATGTCTGTCAGTAGTGAAATAGATAATGACTGAGGTTTACTTCTCAAATGCCATGAAAAAGAAGAAATTATCTGTGGTTTCAGACATCCACCAGGGAGGTCAAAATGTATCCCCTGTGGATAACAGCAGACTTCTGTACGTAGATTGAGTGGGGCAAGACCATGAGGGAACTGGGAACTCAACCCGAGTGGAGACCTAGGTAATACTCACTGTTTCCCATTCTCCCCTGAACCCACTAAATTCAGGTATTCATCCCAATCATTTTAAATAAGGCATCTTATCCTTGTCTTTAGAAGAAAAACAAAGTGGCTGATATATCTTCTTTCTTTCCCTTTCTCTTTTTCTCTAATTCTTCTTTTCCCAATCCCCTTCCCTTCTTTCTGTTTTCCTATCCCCCTCTTTCTCTTCTTATTTTCTCTCTTTTCTTATATTTTCCTCATTTTGTCCTCCCGTTTCTTCACTTTTTCCTTCCCTTTCTCCCTCCCTTCCTCATTTCCTGTCTCCCTCCAACTCTCAGATAGAAAAAAGGAAATTCAACCAGAACTCAAACTCGACCTACTGCATCTTCATGGTCAACAAGCCCTACGCCATCACCTGCTCCGTGGTGGCCTTCTACATCCCGTTTCTCCTCATGGTGCTGGCCTATTATCGCATCTACGTCACTGCCAAGGAGCATGCCCACCAGATCCAGATGTTGCAGCGGGCAGGAGCCCCCTCAGAGGGCAGGCCCCAGCCAGCTGACCAGCACAGCACTCATCGCATGAGGACAGAGACCAAAGCGGCCAAGACCCTGTGCATCATAATGGGTTGCTTCTGCCTCTGCTGGGCTCCATTCTTTGTCACCAATATTGTGGATCCTTTCATAGACTACACTGTGCCCGGGCAGGTGTGGACTGCTTTCCTCTGGCTCGGCTATATCAATTCTGGGCTGAATCCCTTCCTCTACGCCTTCTTGAACAAGTCTTTCAGACGTGCCTTCCTCATCATCCTCTGTTGTGACGATGAACGCTACAGAAGACCTTCCATTCTAGGCCAGACTGTCCCCTGTTCAACCACAACCATTAACGGATCCACGCATGTACTGAGGTGAGTGTTTAGGGCCCATTTGGTTCATTTGCTTTATTTATAAGGGGTAATGCTCCAGCCTTCTGTTTCTAGGAGGTTTATTTCTGAAAACCTGCACAGGGTTTGCAGAGCTTATGGAAGATTGTACCATTTGATCATGAAATAAAGTAGTGGGATAGGACTCTGGCTGTGGAGGGAGAACTAACCCACATTCTGACCTGATCTCTTAGTTCTCTGACTTTAGGGAGGTCATTTAACAATTCTGAGCCTGATTTTTTTTTCCAGATTATAATTGCTTTATCTACATCACAGGATTTTTGTGAGGATCAAATTAGCTACCATGTGGTGCACATAGCATAGATCCTGACACCTGGTAAGCACTAAGGAAAGGTGATCTGCCACTCTCTAAAGGTAGTATCTCAAAGGAGTAATCAAAAGCATGGACTTAAAGCAGGCTGGTCCTTATCCTGATTCTCAGTGCCCCTACTCACCTTCTGTATAATCATTCTTGCATTTGCTTTCCTCAAATATAGAAACAACAATAAGGATAGTGTCATTCTCACTGGATTTTTGTGACAATTAGAAATAATGTATTTATAGGGCCTGACACAGAGTAAGTGCTCATACTATTACTAATAATCTGATTAATATAAATAGAACTGTTAGTAATCTCATAGTGCCTGATAGTCTAAGATAGCCCTAAAGTAATGTAAACAACTCAAATAAACAGAATAATATACAATAGTAATGCCATATGATAAATGATGTAATGGAGGAATGTACTACCTCAAAGAAGGGTATGAGTAGGAAGAAAGCTGATTTTGGCTGAAGGAATTCAAAAAGGCTTCACAGAAAGGCATTTTTATAAGAATTTGAGACATAGAGAGCATATCAGGAAGCAGACAGAAGAACAGGAAGAAGGAAATAGAATATGAAAGCATAGAGAGGTTAAGTGACCTACCCAAGTTCACACAGGTTGGTGGAGGTTGAAGTGACATTGGAGCTGAATGTTCATAGCTAGTCCCTGAGAACTTTCTGGTCACACTGTGATAGAATTTTTCTCGACTATTAAAAGTCATGTGTAATACGGATGTTCATTCTGTAGCAAAGTGAGTTATCAGTGGTGTTTTCTTTTTTGCCCTGAGAGACATTGGAATTCCTAAAGAGCAGCTCCTTTTTGACACAAGCATTTAGTTATTCTGATGATGTCAGTATTCAGCTGTGCTGGCAGCTGAAAATTAGGGAATTTTCGTTTACTTGTGTTAGAAAAGAAGAAGAGAAAACAGAACTACTGTGAAATATAAACACAATGTCACAGAGACTCCTCAGAAGCATGAATCCAATTTTTAGCTACCAGTGTGGGCAGTCTTGGAGCTAAAGCCTTAGTGTGGGGTGGAGGTCCCAGCTGGTGGAAGCCCCCAAAGGATCCTCTAAGAGTTTGATAGTCTCTCCTAATTATTATGCCTTACTGAGTGTCAGAGAAGGAATCCAACCACAAAGTGAGTATAAGAATTTCTGTGTGGGTGCTGGAGAGTTTTTTAGCTATTTAAGCTCGCAGTTACCTAAGTACAGGCTGTCAGTGAGTTGCAAACATCATATGTTTCAGCAATACGTGTCCTAACACCGTTGTTTATAAGTTGGTGGCTTTTTCCCCGCAGACACCAACACAGAAAGAACTTGGAAGTTTCTAGGGCAGCTCAAGAAAGCCCGTTTTACTAACATGGTACAATTTTTTTCCTCTTATTTTTTAGTAATGTGTAGTATGTTATCAAGCAAAGAGATGGAGGTTTAGCAATAGCTTACAGATGTGTCCTCCGTATTCATTCCTTATACCTCGTCATGAGATCATGAAAGTACAGGAAGCCGGATGGAGGTATTTTTCTGTGGGGATGAGGAGTCTTAGTAAAGGGAATGAAGCCTATGCAGAGAAGAAAAAAATATTTCCAACCTGAATCCACTGCAGGGTAACTCTTACAGGGACAGGAGTTGTGCCCATTTGATTCACAGAAATAAACAAAATTGTCAACATGATATACATATAGGAACTTAAACTTTTGATGAATAAATCACAAATGAGCTCTCCAAACCAATTGTTTTAACATAATGCATCTTAAGATGATTCTGCAATTTTCTTAAAAATTCCTCAAGTACATCATCAACAAATTCAGGTGAATTCAAGAAATATAAAGCCAAAAAAAACCAAAAAGTAAAATCAATTTTTATCCTGCTAATGCTTATCCCCAGAGACAACAATTAACATTAATCTGGAGATCTTTTCAATGTATTTATAAACATTCATAAAAACATAAAATCATAGCTTTTTCTCCCATTACTTTATATAAATGGTACTACTGGATATGTACTTCTCTATATCTTGCTTTTTATTCTTTAACAGCACAGTTTAAAGATAATTCTATTGGAGAACGTACAGATATAGCTCATTCTTTTTTAGCTGTTCCATACTCTTTTGTACTAAAAATACATATTAAATGTATTTTTAATTATTTAATTATTTTCCATTAGTGGGCACGTAGGTATTTCCAAATTTTTGCTATTACTAACTGTACTATATAGAGCTCTGAACATATTTTTTTGTGCATGTGCCAGTATTTCTTTCTGAGAGCTACAAAAAGCAAAATTGTTAATTAACATGTGGCCACATTTAGGATTGACCTCCAAGAACACTGCGGCAATTTTATGTTCTCATTAACAGGATATGAGAGTGTTCTTTAGTCTTTTCCCTCACCAATATTGATTATTATCCATCTTTTCTCATTTTGTTAATTAAAAAGACACTCTCATTTAATTCACAATTCTCAGATTTCTTGTCAGGTTGAAACTATTTTAAATTAATTCTTAACTCTTCATATTTGACCTTCATGGACTATATCTTTCTATGCTTTATCCTTTTGGTGACAACTTTGTTGTATTTTTCTTATTAATTTCTGGTGTTCAATATAATATTCTGGATATTAATCCTTTAGTATCTGATTTGCAATACATCTCCTCTTCTTCTGCTTGGTTTTTAACTTTAGACAACTTTTATCTTCTAGATATTTCCAATTTTGAAAACAGTCTTTTTCTTTGACCTCCTGAAGTCAGCCCAGCTTGTTTCTTAAAACTCCTCCTACATCATATTTCCTAAACCTTGCAGTTCCCTGGTTTTCCTCCTAAGTCCTAGCAACCCCTTCTCCATCCCTCTGAGGAGCTCTTCCTTCTCTGTCTGGCCTCTCGCTGTTGGAACTGTTCAGTGCCTGGTTCTTGCTACTCTTCTCCACCATACTCTTCCTCTGTATGATGGACTGCACCACCCAGTGCAGTGCCATCTTCATGCTGTCAGCTTTCCCTTTGATTATAATCTCAAGTTTGCAGTTCTCCTCTGGGCTCCAGATCAGAAGATCCAATTTTCTTCCTGAAAATGTACACTATGTAGATGTCTGTTAGGAATCTCAACTATAATGCAACCAAACAGAACTCTTGGTTCTATATTGCTCCTCCATCTAGCCACAAGATTCCTGAGTCTTCCCTATCCAAGTAGATTCAGCTTCTATCATGTTTCTTACATTTCTGAGTCATTTCTTTAGAAGGATGACTGAAATATTTAAAAAGAAAAAATAACCAAAGTGTGATCAGGAGGCTACTTGTGCTAATATCACCTAATAGCTTGGAAAAAGAACAGATTCCTGGAACCCATTCACTCAATTCATGGTCAGGCTAGTAAAATAACATTTTAATGAAGATGAATATTAAGCTTATGAATATTAAGCTTTAAGAATGACAGTCTCCTGGAGCTCCAGTGGCACAATCGGTTAGTGTGTGGTACTTATAAGAACGACAGTCCCAGATTTTCATGGATCAGAATGATGAGTCAGGGATTCAGGTTATGGCACATATTGTAGCTTGTTGGGTTCTTATAATGTCTCTTAAAGGGTAATAGTTTGATCTGAGGATAACTAGTAAAGTGCAATAGAAAGTTCCTTTTGAAAGCTTGCCTCAGTTCAGCCATGCCCAGTTTAAGACAAATGGTTCTCCTTAATTTGGAGACAGTATGACTACGTAGACATGCCTTGTGGCCACGACTAGGTGACAGGTGGTAAGAACAGGTTATTATAATTTGATTTGGGATTCTTTGGGGATTTGATTTTGGGGTTCTTTGTCTATTGAATTAATGCTGAGGACCTTGCTATTCTTGTTCACTGCTGTTTCCTGAGGGCCTAGTTAAATGTGCCTGCAACACTGCAGAACTTGGCAAGGGGTTGAAGGAAGGCTTCTTTCCTGGCCTTGCTTCTCTGTTTAACCACCTCTATGATGCTTAGCTCAGATAATGCAAGGCAGAGCAGGGACTCAAGGTGCTATTACTTTAGAAAGAGATTCTCTCTGTGAAATCTGCTAAGGATTTCAGTTTTGGTTTTGTGGATAAATAATCCCTGACTTCCTATCTCACTATCTCATTGTGAAAATCAAACAAAATAGTGGATGTGAAATCATTTTGCTAACTACGTAGTTCTATCCATACGGGAAAGATAATTTTAAGAACAGACTTCTGATAAATTAGGCAACACAGAGATTGCATACAGAGTTGGGCTATGGAGATGGGTTTTTCTTCTCTCCTACAGGACTTAGATATCTTTTCTATTTCCCAAGTTCAAATCTAACTCAAACTTAAGACATGGCCAATTTTTAAGAAGGTGAGAACCTCTGGAAGTACTTTCCAGAGAATTCATTGCTCATCTAATTTATTTAATGGTGATCATCCTCCTTTATCCTCCCATAAGCCCCAAGATAGGCAAGTTTTCCATTGACTTAAAGATCGCTAGAGCTGTTATGATTTGGATGTGAGGTGTCCCCCAAAAGCTCATATGTGAGACAATGCAAGGAGGATTAGAAGAGAAATGATTGTTATAAGAACCTTAATCTAATCAGCTATTTAATCCCTGATATGGATTAACTGGATGGTAATTATGGGCTGGTAGAGTGTTGCTGGAGGAAGTGGGTTCCTGGGGGTGTGCCTTTGGGTTATA